TCTCATGTCCATGCTGATTGCAACTGAGGGAGACCCGGATGCACCAGACATCCCGACCCCGCGCTCTTACGCAGAGGCGATAGAGGGTCCCTACTCCTCTCAGTGGCAGTCAGCCATGGACGCAGAGATGGCATCCTGGAAGTCCACAAGCACCTACGTCGATGAGGTTCCCCCTCCTAGGGCGAACATCGTCAGTGGCATGTGGATTTTCAGAGTGAAGCGGCCGCCGGGTTCTCCGCCTGTCTTCAAGGCGCGTTACGTTGCTCGAGGCTTTAGTCGGCGATAGGGAGTTGACTTCTTCCAGACCTTCTCCCCGACCCCGAAGATGACCACTCTTCGGGTTCTGCTGCACATAGCCGCTCAGCGTGACTACGAGCTTCACTCTCTTGACTTCAGCACTGCTTTCTTGAAGGGCAGCCTGCAAGAGGAGATCTGGCTGCGCCGCCCACCTGGCTTCACTGGGTCATTTCTTCCTAGTACCCAATGGAGCCTCTGGCGGCCAGTCTACGGTCTCCGCCTGGCGCCCCGTGAGTGGCACAACACACTGAGGACTACGCTTGCGGCTCTTGGGTTTGCTCCTTCTACTGCTGACCCGTCGCTGTTTCTGCGCACTGACATTTCGTTGCCGTCGTTCTACATCCTTGTGTACGTCGATGACTTGGACTTTGCTACTGCTGATACTGAGGGACTCGGCCACGTGAATTCGGAGCTGCTGAAGAGACACATGTGCACAGACCTGGGTGAACTGCGCAGCTATCTTGGATTGCAAATCACCCGGGACAGAGCACGGCGCACCATTATCTTGACTTAGTCACACATGGTGCAGCAGGTCCTTCAGCGCTTCAACTTCACGTACTCGTTGCCTCATGCCACTCCTCTGTCTACTCGCCACTCGCTCTCAGCTCTGCCTTCGGATGAGTCCGTAGAGCCGAGTGGCCCGTACCCAGAGCTTGTTGGCTGCGTGATGTACCTGATGACCTGCACTCGACCTGACCTGGCATACCCTCTTAGCATCTTGGCACGCTATGTTTCTCCTAGGAGACAAAGACCAGAGCACATGGCTGCAGCTAAGAGGGTGTTGCGCTACCTGTGCAGTACGTCGGGCATGGGGCTCGTGCTTGGAGGACGGGCTCGAGTTGTCCTCACTGGTCACGTAGACGCTTCTTGGGTCGACGACTTGGCTAAGCAGCTATCGTCACAGGGTTACATCTTAAGCCTTGGTTCGGGCTTTGTTTCGTGGCGCTCTACCCGTTCGTCTTCTGTTCTCGGCTCCAATTGTGAGGCTGAGATCTACGCTGGGGCCATGGCTGCACAGGAGCTACGCTGGCTCACCTACTTGCTGACCGACTTGGGAGAGGCGCCTCGTTCTCCTCCAGTTCTGTACGTCGACAACAAGGCCATGCTGGCCTTGTGTCAGGAGCACAGACTGGAGCACAGAACGAAGCACATTGCTCTGCGCTACTTCCTTGCTCGAGAGTTGCAGTAGTGTGGTCAGCTTCGTCCTGCTTACGTGGCCTCTCGGGCCAACACTGCTGATATCTTTACCAAGGCACTTCAGCCTTGTGATCATCAGCATTTCTGTACTATGCTAGGTCTTGTGCCTACTGGGCCTCACTTGCTTACCTCTTGACTTTGTTTGTACTGTGATCTATATATACCTGCACCTGCATGCTTACCCTTGCTAGGTTGAGATCACTGTCTTGCTTGTTCACCTTGCTTTATAATCCTGCATGTGAACTGGCCTTGTGGCCTTGAACTGGTGATCAGAATGTGTGGTGACGTTGTGATCCGCCCTGAGCTTGCTTTGCTTCTCTTAACTGGTCTTGTGACCTCTTGTTCTCGCCCACTTTGCCTATGGGGGTGTGTCAAACTTATATGCTGTAGTCTGTGTAGGCTATAGTGGGGTAGTTCATATGGGGTACAACACTTTAGGGTTTCCTACTTGCACTCCTCATGCTGCTCAATGCAATCATTCCTCATTCTTATTCTCAGAGGGGGCATATCAATTGACCCACCACCGTTGCTTTGAAACACATTCAACCTCCAACACTGCCGGGCCGACTGTGGAAGCAGCTCTAGCGTTCTCGCGAACCAAGGATCCAGTAACGTCGTTGCCTTGGGCGTGCGAAAAAACTCCTCAAACATCTTCTCCTCCATTGGCACCCCCATTTGAGCCACATCGCTCGCTGCCTGGCACCAGCCACATGCGTACGAGGTCAGCTACAGAGCGTATGCCGAATCCCCCCTGCCTGGCAGGAAGGTGCATCCGCGACTTCCCAGCATCGTGATCCCATGTACTGGGTGGAAACAACTGCTCAAAACAATCTTCAAGGCCCGTGTCCCAGTCCTGGAAAGCCTCCACTACCCCTCGTCACGGAGGCATCGTCCGCGTGAGATAAATCGGGCGCGCTGACGCCATGATCGCCAGCAAATGAGACGCAATATGTGGATGGTCGAGCAGAGGAAGCCATGGGACGAGCGCGTGCAGCTCCGTCAGCCTCGCTTGGAGGTGAGCCACCTCCCAGTCCTTCTCTCCAAAGGGAACGACTACTACAGTAAGCCCCTTCCAGGTTTGTACGGACCATTATATCACCTAAGCACCTTGTTGAGACTGGTTAGCAATCAAACAGCGGTGATCTTTGTTTTCAGGTACTAGCGTAACATCTTTTTTTTTTTTTGTGGACATAAGTACACTACACGTATACATACATCCGCAGTCGTAACTGATGCTAGGAGGGCATGCAAGAGGTTACAAGTAACCGGGCCCCCCCTTCCACTTTACGGGGGTTGAAAAGCTACGCCGCCATCCTCCCATACGGCCTTGAAACTCGCTCTCCACGTCATCGAGGCTTCGTTCTAGTATAGTCTGTCCAAAGCTTTCGCCTCGTCAGCATTCAAGTGGCCCCAATCCCCTATCTTGTTCAAACCACCTCTGCCAGCCGACCGTTTCCGCACTCTGATGTAGATCTTCACGTGCCTTGTAAAGCCAACCGCAATGTGCCTCAGTGCTCTCTTTGGCTGGAAGCGACTGCCACGGAAAACCGCATTACACCTCTCCAACCACACCTGTTGTGCTATAATCGAAATAATTGCGGCCTCCGGAAAACCCGTCGACGTGCCACTCTTTTGGAACAGCATGTCTCTGAGGGACTTTATTTCCCTGCCCGGGTTCATGCATTGCACCGCCTTCTTCATCACCCCAACCACTGGCTGGATCGCCGGGCAGCTGAATAAGCACTGATTCTGCGACTCCACTCCTCCGCAGTGCACGCATTTCGCCTTCTCTCCTAGGAAAGGAAGTCTCTCACCCACTTGTAGGTTATTGCTCTGCACCCTCAGCACCACTTCCCTTGCCCTGCATGGTGTTGCGAGCGAGTCCCAGACCTGGATGGCTTTCCCCCAATCAATCTTCTTCCCCATCTCCTCTTCCCATCGCAGCTGCTGCTTGGGTTGGGATATTGGGGGTTTCATCGCCTTCCTCTTCACTATTAGCGTCGCCGTCACCAGAGTCGTCAGCATTGTCTTCATTGTTCCGCAGGTCGAGCAGGTCCTCGAAGGGATCGATCACAGCAGGGGTCCCTGGAGTGGTAGACCGGCCATGTCCAGCAGCGTCCGGCACAGGTACGTCAGGTACGTTCGCTCCCGTCTCCTTTCTTTTATCACCATTCCCTGTCTTCTTGCTCGAGTTGTTGTTGTGTCCCTTTCCCATTGTGCAATTATGAGGATAGATTGGCAGCCCAGAAATGGTTGGAAAGCAAGCTGATCTGAGCACTGAAAAATCTGACGATTTATATCTCTTGTGCTTGAAAGCAAAACGCTGCAGGTCCAGACCCGAGAAGACAAGTGCGTCTCTGGGGATAAGCACATTGCTTCGGGAAACGTTCGCCTTGAGTTTAGATGGTCTTTGGGAACTGTAAACATAGTTGTTGACGCGATGTGATGCCTGAGCCAGCAATGAGTTGCGATGGAAACCATGGAGTAGCTTGTAACCTTGGTTATTGTTGCATGACATTAACTTGCATGATGATAGGTGAAGCTTGGACGATAGCCTGGAACTCCAAAAAGTGGTGTTTAGGTTCCAGTAATGAACACTAAAAGTACACCATTGTATAGAGCTTGAGGTCGCGCATCGTCTAAGCTAGTATTGTAACAGCTAGTATTGTTAACGAGTCTCCCTATCTGGGTTATCCTTGTGCCACAGCAAAATGGCGTTATGTCGAGACTTGGACGTGGTCGCAAGCCCTTCTGTGTCTTTGAGACTCGCGACACACCTGAGCTATCGCACTCGCTTGGACGTTCCTGTCCAGCTCAGGCTTTTAGTTCGGCGCAACTGTTTGCAGCCCCAAGCCACGTTACAAGCCCTTCGGCAGCGTTTGTTTCAGGTTCGTAATCTCCCCAAACCACCACATCCCTCACGAAAGAGGATCCCAAGCTTGTCCGAACGTAGAGCCCCCTCTTTCCTGTTTTGTCAAACCCAACGGCCGGTTCGGGTACTGCGATATGCGCCCCGGCCGGGGCTGTGGTTCTGAGCGAGCGACTCGGTAATATGCAAAATGTGTTGGGAGCAAGTCGATGCGGCGGAAACCAGGGTGCCCCTCTAAAACCATTGTAACGCTCCCCACCGCACTGAAACGTTTTTTTATTTCTCGAGAACCACACCAAAGCATTGTTCCACTCTCTTTCTCTCTTCTTTAGTGTCGCACTGATTTCGTTATGCACTAAGCAATGGGAATGAAAGCAGTTCCGCACGACTTGGCGAGACGATTAGTGCTTGCAACGGTGTGAGACCAGGGGAAAGAAACATTGGTTAGTCAGACAATGGCGTTTAGTTAACTCTGCTCCTGCATGCATTCAGTCGTTAGCTTAGCATAGTAGCCGTCAGCATCGCTCCCCCAACCCTTCGTTTGTAACCAAGATTACGCGAATCGGTTCCGTCAGCTTAGACGCCGTTCGCCCGTTCCAAACAATTACGGCCGAAGCGGTCCGTCAATTAACCGACGATGACTGCCCGAATGGATTTCTACGGACTGACAGACCGCCTCGCCTTCCTCCTAACATCCATCCTCGACGAAGACAACGCGCCGCCACCGGAATTCGCCTCGGCTCTTAGAAGCCACTGCGCGCTGCTGCTTTCCCTATTGGAGGACGTCGAGCCGCTGGTAGACGCGTGGAGCGCGCAGCGGCAGCAGCTTCGCGGAAACATCTTGCTTCAGTCGGCATTGGACGATTTGAGGGCCGTGCTGGAGGAAGCTTCCGGGTTGCTCTACTGGTGCTCATTGGCGCGCAGCAAGGCGTACATCGTGAGTTTTTCGGGAACGCGGGCAGCTGCATGCCACGTGTTCTCTTCTCCCCGTCTTCTTTCCGCGTCCCTCGCCTCTCATTTTTCGAGACGGTTCTCAGAAGTCTTTATTTTCGTTTCCAGTCCGCTTAATGTGCGTTTCGAGGGAAAACCGGGTGTCACCTTTTTTTTTGTCTCCACTCAGGCGATCAGCTCGGAATGGGCAGCGCAGAAGTTTCAGGACCTGACCATGCGACTGGGCGACGCTCTGCGCGACGCACACTCCGTCGTCGAGCCGTCGCCCGTGCAGCAGCCGCACTGGCACGGGCTGTCGCACGGGCAAGCTTCGGGGTGGCAGTTCCAGGTATGCTTCACCTTATAAGAGAAATGCGGGCGAATCAAGGGTTTCACGCTGAGTTCGTGTTTACCAACGCGAAGTAGCGCGACGACCCCTGTGCAATGCCCGCAGTAGCGCGACGACCCCTGTGCAATGCCCGCAGTAGCGCGACGACCCCTGTGCAATGCCCGCAGTAGCCAAGCCCTCTGGCCATGCTTTGCCCTGACGCCACCGCCTCACTCTGCTCGTCCCATCCATGCACCCCTTTCCCCCTCCTCACCTCTCCGCGTCTCCACCTCCGCCCCTCCCCCTTCCCCCCATCTCCCGCACTCCGCAGGTGCCGCACATCCTCTCGAAGCTCTCGCGCGCGCAGTACCCCGTAGAGCCCTCCGCCGTCCGCTGCCGCGACACCATCGCCTCGTTCGTTCCGCCCCCCCATGCCTGCACCTGCGGCGCTGCGAACAGCAACAGCATGAGCAGCAGCGGCAGTAGCAGTTCCAGCAAGGGAAGCAGCTTCGGCAGTGGCGGCAGTGGCAGCAGCAGCAGGGGGAGTAGCGGCAGGTGCTCCTGCGCTACAAGCAGCAGCATTTCTGTTGCCCCCGATAAGCGCCGCAGCCTGCTGATGCTGGCAGGGCAGCTTGATCTTATAACGGAGGAGGACTTTAACGAAGAAATTGTGGCTTTAGAGGAGATTAAGGAGGAGTGTGAGAACGACGGTGGCAGTGGCAGCAGAAGGCGCAGCAGCAGCAGGAGGCAGAGCAACAGAACAGCGAGGGGGCGAGTGGCGAGACGGAAGAGCTTTCCTTACAACGGGAGCATGAACGGCAGCGTTAGTAGCGAGGGAACGTCTGGTTACCACAGTGCTAATGGCAACAGTGACAATGACGGGCTCGGAAGAGGTACGGGGACTGACTCCGAAGCTGGAACAGCCACGGATTCTGGCTCGGCGGCAGGTACGGCAACGGACTCAGGCTCGGACGCTTCCATGCCCGTCTCCGTGGGATCCTCGTTTGAGTATGCTCCGATAGCACCTGCAGCGATAGTTCGTTTCAAGAACCCTGCTTTGATAGGAGCTGCCTTATCTGTGGTCAAGATTATGCGAGAGGAGTGCCTGGGTATCCCTTTTGCCGAACCTGCTCCCTCTCTTCCTGCCGAACCTGCTGTGGCTGGCTCGGAGCCAGGCCTGGGGATCATCTCTGGCTTTAGCCAGGGTGCCCTCCCGTCTGTTGCTGAAGTACCTGAGATTCCACCTGAACAGGCACCTGAGGCAGCCAGCAGCGACGGAGAGGGAGGGAAAGCGGCTGCCACGAGCAATGGTAGCAGCCCATCGTCTGTTCTCCCTCCACCTTCATCAGATACACCTGCACCAGTTGCACCTGCACCAGCGGAACTGCCAACTGCCACTGCTACTGCGACGGCCACTCCTGCCCCTGCTTCTGGTGCTGCCACTGCTGCCACCGCACTTGGAGTAACTAATCCTGCTGCCACTACCGCTGCCGCTGATTCCGCTGCTGCTGATTCTGCTGCAGATGACTCTGCTGGTCCGCCCACCCCCTCCTCCTCCACCGCCTCCTTCTCACTTACCTCTGTACGGTCGGCCAAAGCGATCTATCTGTCTGGCCCCGCCAGGAGAGCCGCTGCGGCTGCTGCCAAGGCCAAGGCTGCCAACGCCCCGCCTCCTGCTCCTGCTGCTGCTCCTGCTCCTGCTCCTGCTCCTGCTCCTGCTCCTGCTCCTGCTCCTGCTCCTGCTCCTGCTCTTGCTCCTACTGCTGCCGCTGCAGCCGCTCCTGCTGTTGTTGCTGCTGTCGATGCTGCTGCTGGAGCAGCAGGGGCAACAGAACCAGGGGCAACAGCACCAGAGGAGCTTGCAACCCCTGTTCCATCCGCACCTCCTACCAAACCTGCTTCCAAACCTGCTCCCGAGCCTGTCACTCTGCCTACCTCAGCTGTTGCCCCCGGACCTGCTTCCCCAACCACCCCGTCCGGACCTGCACGCCGAGCCGCCGCCGCAGCTGCGGCAAGGCGGAAGAAGGAGCAGTTAGGGAAGGTCGAGAGTTGCGCTGGTGCTCCTGCGAGTGGGTGTCTGAATGAGTTGGCTGGGTGCTTTGCTGGGGCGAAAGAGTATGAATGGAGTGAGAAAGAGGGAGGGGGAGGAGAAACGGGAAAAGGGGGAAGGGTGGGTGAAAAGGAGGTTGCAAGGGAGGGAGGCAACAGCAAAACACACCCTTTTCTGGGCCAGCAGCAGGATGAGGAAAAGACGGGTGGAAAGGAACAGACGGAAAGGGCGTCGGAGAAAACACCTGAAAAAGCACCTGAGGAAACACCTAAGAAGCGGCATCAGCAGGAGCGTGCAGGAGCCGGGACAAGGGAGAAATACGCAGAAGCCATTACTCCGAAGGCAAAAGAGGTGAAAGAGGTGGTGATGGTGATGGAAGTGGGCGGAGATGAAGGATTGGAGGAGAGGGAAGAGAGGGAGGGGGAAGGAGAAGGAGGGGAAGGAGAGAGAGAGTTGGAGTCTCAGGCGTTTGAGTCTGAACGGAAGGTGCAGCAGTGGTTAGAGCAGCAGCACCAGAATGAGGGGGAGATGATACCGCAGCCAGAGCACCTGACACCTGACCACCTGCCAAAACACTTGGGGCTTGAGAACCAGCAGCAACAGCAACAGCAGCAGCAGCAGCAGCAGCAGCAGCAGCAGCAGCCGCAGCCGCAGGAAAGGAAGGTCAGTGAGAAGAGCAAGAAGAAAGGAGAGGAGAAGAAGCAGGAAAAGGAAAAGCGGGAGGAGGAAAGAGAGAAATCAAGAGAGAGGCAGGGGGAGCAGAAGACGAATGCAATCCCACCGGCATTTGATGAAAGAGTGTCGGAGCGTGGAAGAGGGAGAGCCAGGGAGAGGGGCAGGGAGAAGGAGAAGGAGAAGGAGAAGGAGAAGGAGAGGGAGAAGGAGAAGGAGAGGGAGAGGGAGAAGGAGAAGGAGAAGGAGAAGGAGAGGGAGAGGGAGAAGGAAAGGGAGAAAGAGAAAGACAATCTCAGCCGTTCCTCCTCCCTCCTCCCTCCACCCCCCAAGAACCCCCTCCCTGCCATCTTCCTCCACCCCGCCGAGCCTGCCGAGCTGGTTCGGATGCTGCAGGGCTCCGAGCCTGCGCGGCTGCACGCAGCGGGGCGAATCCGCGAGGTGGCACGGGGGGACGAGGACGCGCGGGAGCACTTGAGGCAGGCAGGGGTGCTGCGGCCGCTGCTGGACTGCGTTGCTGCTGCTGCTGGGCTGCCTGTGGGCGTGGAGGCGGTACTGCTGCAGAGCCAGGAGAAACAGGAGAAGCAGGAGGGACCGGGAGGAGGAGTAGGCATGGGGGATCCGCTCCCTCTTCCCCCTGGCGCTGCTGCTGCTGCCGGTCTTCCCTACTCTGCGTCTGCTGCTACAAGCTATCCGTACCCTCCCCCCTCGCCTGCCATGCCTGGCCTGCCCCTCACAGCACACCCCTGGGTGGCCCCTTCCCCCTCCCACCCTCCCATCCGCTACTCCTCCTCCGCGCCTGGCTATGGCATTCCAGCCACTCCCTTTTCAGAGCGTGCAGGATCCATGCGAGCACCTTCCCCCACTCGAACCCCCTCCTTGGCTGCTTCTCACTCATTCCCATCTCCTTACCCTGCTGGGTACGGGTCTGCTGCAGCTGCTGCTGCCAATGCTACTCCCAGGCACCTCTCAGCAGCACACCCTGGCTTTCCCGCACTGCACCACCCGCACACTCCGCATGCCGGCACCACCCCCTCCCGCTCTCTCTCTTCCGCTACCGCTCCTCCTCTTTCCACCTCCCCTTCTTTCAACCCTGCTCATACCAACTGGGTTTTAGCAGAGACTGCTACTTTCGCTTTAGTCAACCTCACTCTCGATCCAGTCAACTGCACTATAGTCACCGATCTCGGTGCCGCCCCAATCCTCGTCCACATCCTCCGTGCCGCCCCGACCGCCGTCCGGGACGCAGCAATCGCAGCTCTCTTCGTCCTTTCCTCATGCGACGCCGCCCGGCTGGACATCGGCGCGGCCGGCGCGATCCCGCTCCTCGTCTCCATCCTACTGGACGAAAAGCCCCAGCGGCAGCCCTCGGCTTGTCCGGCCAACTCAGACCGAGCCAAAGAAGACGCCCTACTCACTCTCCTCAACCTCTCCCACCTCACCTCCAACAAATCAACCCTCCTTCTCTCCGGCACCCACCGCGCGCTAATCCACATTATAACTCGCGCACCCGGCCACCGGCTGGCAGACAAGGCTCTCGCTACAATGAGGCAGCTTGTAACGAGGCCGGAGGGGAGGGAGGCGGTGGTGCAGGCAGAAGGGGTGGGTGCACTGGCAAGGGCGTTGGAGCGAGGATCGGATAAGGGGAAGGAGGAAGCGACGGCGATTCTGGTGGTTCTGTGGGATAACAATGGCGGGGGGCACAGGAAGGCGATCAGGGAGAAGAAGATTGGGAAGCTGCTGACGGCCGTGGCTCGGACAGGCTCGGAGCGAGGGCGAGCGAAGGTGAGTGTGTGAAGGGAGGCAGGCGGAGGAATATTGAAAGCAAGGAGAGGTGTGAAGGTGAGGGGAAGAGTGGCGGTGTGAGGGAGATGCAGGGATGTAGACCGAGAGGAAGATGTTTTGAGACGTCTCAAAACATGTCTTTTATCACGTGAGATGCAGGGATGTAGACGGAGAGGGAAGATTGGAATGCTGCTGGTGGCCGTGGCACAGACGGGCTCGGAGCATGGGCGATCAAAGGTGTGTGTGAAGGGAATGCGAGAGAAAAGAAGAGTGACGGTGTGAGGGGAATGTAAGGATGTAGAGGGGAGAGGATGATTGGGAAGCTGCTGATGGCCGTGGCTCGGACGGGCTCGGAGCGAGGGTGAGCAAAGGTGAGTGTGTGAAGGGAGGTGAGGGAGGAGTGATGTGCGAAGGGAGGTGTGGGAGGAGTGATGTGCGAAGGGAGGTGTGGGAGGAGTGATGTGCGAAGGAATGGCAAGGCTGTAGAGGGAGAGGAAGATTGGATTGCTATCAACAGCTGCGGCGTGGACAGGCTTGGATTGCGGGCGAGCCAAGGTGATGGTAGCGAGGGGAAGGGGCGATGGGAAGTGATCGGTGGGGAGGAGAGAGGTAGGGGGTAAGGTGAGAGGGGGAGTGGGGATACGTAAGAGGGAAGATGAGAGGTACAGAAGGTGAAAGGGGAGGAGAGATGAGGTGGTTGGTGAGGAGTAAGGTGTTGTCCAACTTCTGTGCCTTGCACCAACTTCTGTGCCTTGCACCAACTTCTGTGCCTTGCACCAACTTCTGTGCCTTGCACCAACTTCTGTGCCTTGCACCAACTTCTGTGCCTTGCACCAACTTCTGTGCCTTGCACCAACTTCTGTGCCTTGCACCAACTTCTGTGCCTTGCACCAACTTCTGTGCCTTGCACCAACTTCTGTGCCTTGCACCAACTTCTGTGCCTTGCACCAACTTCTGTGCCTTGCACCAACTTCTGTGCCTTGCACCAACTTCTGTGCCTTGCACCAACTTCTGTGCCTTGCACCAACTTCTGTGCCTTGCACCAACTTCTGTGCCTTGCACCAACTTCTGTGCCTTGCACTAACTTCTGTGCCTTGCACCAACTTCTGTGCCTTGCACCATCAACCCACACCTGTTAACATCGTGAACGCACAGCACGCCTGTCATCGCAATGCATTAATGGCTCCTAGAAACCCTCTCCTCTTCCTTCCCCAACCTCCACTATACTATACCCCCTCACCCTCCCCCCTCTCTCCTTGCCTCCCCTCTCTGCACCACTCTCTGCCCCCACAACCGGCTGTGTCTCATTTATTTATCCACCCATCACAATCGTGTGTCACCCCATGGCAGGCTCTTCAGCTGCTGATTCACCTCGCATGATAGAGGGCTATCGCCTATGGCGAGGCCATCGCTTTTGGATTAGCGTGATTGCTTCGAGATGGATGCGATTGGTTGAAGATTGCCGTGAATCCACTGGTTGTGCAAGATGCTTTGCCAGCACTGTTTGTCCTGCAAGCATGTCTCATAGTGACTTGCTCTTGATGAACTGCATTATACTGTAGCTGTTCTCTATTTGGTAGAAACAAGAGCTGTGTATGACCGTACTCTTTAGAAATAAGTTGCTGCTAATAAATACATCGTTTACACCGTCCATGCTCCATGCTTCAGCTCTAATATTATTCGCCGGAGGGAATGTGTGAGAATTCCGACGGCACATTTCAGCGTAGTGGGTTGGAAGGTGGTACATGCTCAATCACCAGCCATCGTGTACATCCCTAGTGAGGTGCACTCTAACTAGCGCGAAAGGGCAATAAGCAATGAGCACCAACCAGGTGCTTTAGCACATATAGAAACATTACGAAGGAGAAACCTTAGTATTACGTCTATTTGTTTAATACAGTACAGGTGTAAAACATTTCGTACAAATCAACGAAACGAATAAAACATGCAGAGACCATTTTTACACAACCATGGCAATACCCATGTCGGTCGACTTGGCGGCGGAAGCGGTAGCAACGTTGTCCTCAGGCATCACAGCAACAACGTCATCCTCAGCCTCGGTAGCCACAACAGCCACGGTGTTGTCCGAGTCGGCAGGCTCGGCAACAGCCACGGTGTTGTCTTCATCAGCAGCCTCCGCGGACGACGCGACGACGGAGTTGTCGGAGTCGGCAACATCCTCGCTAGACGCAGCCACGGTATTGTCGGAGTCGTCAGCGGCGTCGTCAGTGGCAGCGACGGTGTTATCCTCATCGACAACGATCTTATCAGCCTCAGCGGCACTCACGCCGTTGTCCTCCTCGTCCCATGCGGCCAGATCTGTCAACGCAAGCTCCTGAATCTTCTCCCGGGAGAGTCCCTTGAGATTGGGGACAACGGTGTTATCGGTGATATCGTCATCGAGTGGTGCGGGCCGCGCGTGGCACACGGCGAAGAGGGCGAGGAGAGCGAAGGCGACGACGGCGTAGCGAGCCATGGCTGGGAGCTAAACTGGAGAATTGAAGGAAGTGGAATGGAAACTGATGCAAACCCTAGATCGGTCTATGCAAAGTGAATATCAGAAACTGGAGAAACTGCAATGCTCGGAGTACGTGAAGAGAACTACTGCGGAATGGGAGGTTAGCTGTCTGTTGTTGCTCAAGAGACGGGAAGTGAGGTCATGGGGAAGGAAGGAGATGGTTGGTGTGAACCTGCGACGTTCCTTTGTCGCAGGGATTCGCATTCACAGGGCGGCCTGAATTTGCTACCTTTCCCTGCTCGGCGCGCCTATGGCTAGTTGGTCAAACGACGCCAGCGAACAACATGTTTCGCAGAGGGAGAGTTGTAGAGAAGTCGTGGACTGAGAAACGACAAAATGGGAGGAAAGAATGAGACGCGTCGCTGCTGTTACAGGTGATCTCAGGTGTTCTTGGGTCCCTCTGAAGGGAACGTACCTGACAAACACTAGACCAGGGTCATGGTCTGGACTGTGAGAATCGGTCAGCGAGCTCGACGAAAGTAACCGAAGTAAAAAATGATGGATAAATCCGTCGGTAGTCATGCTGGTAACCTTTCGCCAACGTGGCAAGATGGTGGTCCTTGTATGGATTGGTCGAATGACGTGGTTCTGTTCGAGTATTTGACCAAATGGACGAATGTGGTGACTGCATCCTCACCTGACTTACCGGTATCCTACATGTGGAATCCACCTGAACGTTATTCTGCAGAAGGTGCACCCACCTTCCATCTACATTTCAGGCTGCAGTACACCTTCACAGGTGGTCCGAAATTCCTAGAATTCGTCTTATTATATATGGCGTATTTACTAATAAATACTTCAACAAATACTGCAATAATAATTGATCAGGCCTTCTGCAGCACCTCCCAATATGCATACGGCATGTATAATGACGAGTATTCCAATGCCTCGTGGTTTGCAAGCATGATGCTATTATTACCAAGATAAATATGCCCATACAACTACATTGGTTGTGATTCCGTTTGAACACATTTATTGCACGCATGCCGATAACCTTAGGCCTACGCCTCAGAATACCAGTCCATTTTCCCCTCACTACACCCTGCGATGCGTCCGTTTACTACAGAGTGTACCTGAGCAGGTTACATTGGAGAATGAAGAGGAGCATGTTAGAGGGGCAAAACCAGCTATCATGGGCAGTGACTGTCAGATGTGATTGCAGAGGGAGCAGTGACTGTAGAGGGAGCAGCAGGAGAACCGCCGGCAGCCATGTTAGTTGCTTCTACCACACTGCTGCTCCTGCTGGCGCCAACACTTACCCTCCCCCCACCTCCAGCCAATCCCATGGCAACCCCACTGTTCCCCTCATGGTAACCAGCAAAGGCAGCACTACTGCTCCCATCACCACCACCACTGCCGCCAGCAGTATCACCAGCAGCAGCACCAGAAACAGCGGCAGAAGCAGCGGCGATGGCAGCGTCGACAGCAGCAGCAGGCGTGGAGGCGGCGGGGGAAGGGAGGGCGGGCAGTGGGAGGTCAGAGGGGCCGGCAGCAACGGCGTGGTGACCCGTGAAGTGAGAGAGGTGACCCAGTAGCTTGTCCTTGCGGCTGTGGATAAGGGGGGATGGGGAGAGGCCGAGGGAGGATGGGTGGGGTGAGGGACTTTGAGTTTACTCTAAGAGTTTACTGGGCCGGCCGCAACAGCATGATGGCCCGTGCAGTGAAAGAGGTGACCCAGTAGCTTGTCCTTGCGGCTGTGGATAGGGGGGGATGGGGAGAGGCCGAGGGAGGATGGGTGGGGTGAGGGACTTTGAGATTACTCTAAGAGTTTACTGGGCCGGCCGCAACAGCATGATGGCCCGTGCAGTGAAAGAGGTGACCCAGTAGCTTGTCCTTGCGGCTGTGGATAGGGGGGGATGGGGAGAGGCCGAGGGAGGATGGGTGGGGTGAGGGACTTTGAGATTACTCTAAGAGTTTACTGGGCCGGCCGCAACAGCATGATGGCCCGTGCAGTGAGAGAGGTGACCCAGTAGCTTGTCCCTGCGGCTGTGAAAAAGAGGGGGAGAGGAGGGGGGAGGGGAAGGGGAGTTGACAGGTAGAGGTTTTGAGGTGACTTAAGAGGTCAAGGAGTGGCACCAAATGCGTGGTGGCCTGTGAAGTGAGAGAGGTGACCCAGTAGCTTGTCCTTGTGGCTGTGGATAAGGGGGGAGAGGTGGAGGAAGGGGGGAGACAGGGAAGAAGGGGAAGGTTTGGGGGTTTGAGTTGACTCAAAGTCTGATGGGTTGGCAGCAACAGCATGGCGGCCTGTGAATTGAGAGAGGTGAACCCACCGAAACCCACCTGAGAGCCCGCCTGGACCCACCCGAACCCACCTGAAGGACGACCCGCAGGAGCATTTCCAGGAGGACCGGCCACAGTGCTTCTCATGCGTGCGCAGATCAGCCAGAACAGCAAACTGCTTCACGCCGCACCGACTGCACGTGTACTGCTTCGCACAGTGCGTCCTCCTGTAGTGATTCTTCACACACAGAATCGTTTTCAGCGGCTGGAACTCCGGGTGCTGCTGGTTGCGCTTGCATCCGGGCTCTGGGCAGCTGTAGCGCTGCGGCCGGGCGGCGGGGTGAGTGGCGGAGCGGGCGGCTGGGTGAGTGGCGGAGCGGGCGGCGGAGAGCGCAGGGCGAGAGAGGGAGGTGGCACCCTTGTAGGCGTCGCCATGGCCCCGCATGTGCATGCGGAGGTTGGCGTCGCGCTTAAAGCCCTTCCCACACACCTGGTGGGGGTGGCGCGAAATGAGAGATGAGAGATGAGAGATGGGAGATGGGAGATGGGAGGTGGGAGGTGGGAGGTTTGAGGTGGGAGGTGAGGGATGGGGGGGATGGGGTGCAACAGCATGCTTGGGCAACAGAGGCGCTATTCCCATCAACTCACTAGGCAAGTGCGTTCAAGACAACTAAACAAACCTCATGAGAACAGATTCGAGCAAACCTCATTGAAACAAACTCCAACAAAACCTATTGATGAAACAAGAGCGCACCTCACAGAACAGAGTGTGCTCTGCTAGAAGTTCGTCGACCTGCAGCTCCACCAATTCAAACTCGCCACGTGTCACCCCTTCACTGCTCCTCCCCCCCTCTTCCTCCTCCTCATCGTCCTCCTCTTCTTCATCCTCCCCACTCCCACCACCAAGTTGACTCTCAGCCTTCACAGAAATTCCAAGTTTTGATCTTCTTACCACTTGCCCCTCACTCTCTTCCTCCTCTCTACTTGCCTCAGGTAAAATTCTTCCCCCTCTTGCCCCTCCTCTCCCTCCTCTGCCGCCCCCCTTCCTCCCCCCTCCCACACTCCCTCCTCTACTCCCCCGTATCCTGCCTCTCCCCACACCCATGCCGCCGCTGCCGCCCAAAACACTGCCGCCGCCCCAAACGCTGTCGCACATTCCACTGCCGCCCAGAACGCTGCCGCCCACACTACTGCTGCCGCCCTGACTGCTGCTTGCGCCACCCATGCTGACACTGGGCGGCATGCCAGTACTCTGAGATGCCATGGCGTTCTCATACAATACCATGGCGTTATCATGCGATGCTCTGGTGTTACCACTTGGTACCACGCGGTTACCACTTGGTACCACGCAGTTACCACTTGGTACCACGCAGTTACCATGTGAAGCCGTGGGAACAGCAACTGCTTGACATGCCATGGCACCACCACCAGCGCCACCATCATATGCAGCACCATCAGGTGCGTCATCAGGTGTAACATCAGGTGCCACATCAGGTGCCCCATAATAGGTTCCTCGCAAAGGCATGGGCGTCCCATTGATGTCGTCACCACCACCCATGCTGACGTCATCCATGGCCTGCACTTCCTCCTTCACGGCACCATGCATGACGTCACCACCACCCCATGCCATCATCTCACCCCCACCCCCATGCCCCCCTCCCCCCTCCCTTCTTCTTTCCTCCGAAGCCCCGTCCACACCTGCCATCACCGCACCCCACCGCAGTCCTTGGTCATGCAACGTACTGCAGTTCACCTGGCCTTCCCGTTCCAAACCGCACACCCCCCTTAGACTTGGCCTCTGCATGCTTGGAGTCGACTCAACAACAGGCAGAGCACCCGAGCCTGCCGTCTCCACCTCTCTCGAGTCTCCTGGGCCTGCCACGTTCGTCCCACCCTCTATTTCGTTCGCCTGGGGTGCTTGCAGCTGCTGGTTGCGAGCTTCTAAGAACCTTCGCAACAACTCAATCTGAGGTACCAGATCTTCTTGCTGCTGCTGCTGCTGCTGCTCCTCTTGCTGGTTGGTGTTGTCTGTAAGGTCCGCCTCCTGCTGTTGCTGCTGCTGCTGCTGCTGCTGCTGCTGCTGCTGCTGCTGCTGCTGCTGCTGCTGCTGCTGCTGCTGCTGCTGCTGCTGCTGCTGCTGCTGCTGCTGCTGCTGCTGCTGCTGCTGCTGCTGCAGCTGCTGCTGCTGCTGCTGCTGCTGCTGCTGCTGATACGGATTTCGATGCTGATACTCCTGCTGCTCTTCTCCTTGATGCTGCTGCGGCTGCTGCTGCTGCTGATACTGTTGCTGTTGCTGGTGTTGCTGCTGCTGCTGCTGCTGCTGCTGCTGCTGCTGCTGCTGCTGCTGCTGCTGCTGCTGCTGCTGCTGCTGCTGCTGCTGCTGCTGCTGCTGCTGCTGCTGCTGCTGCTGCTGCTGCTGCTGCTGCTGCTGCTGCGCATTCCCAGGCGCGTCTGAAGTACCTTCCCTGCCATAAACCGCGCCAGCAATGTCCGGAACAACCAGCTTTTCCTGCAGGTGCGGCGGTAGCAACCCCACTGCTGCCGCTGCCACCTGCTGTATCACCGTCGCTACTCCCACTGCTGCCACCTCCTGTTGCTGCTGCAGCGCCTCTGACGGGCCGGATTGTGCCACTAGCGGAACCAGCACTTGTAACGCGGATATCTTTGACTGGAGGGAGGAGAGCGCGCCTAGGAGCGCGGAGGGGGAGATGGGGGAAGCGGAAGGGGAAGTTCGTGGAGCGGAGGGGATGGGGGGAGCGGCAGGGGGGATATCCGAAGGGGGAAGGTGGGCAGCGGAAGGAGCAGTCATGGGAGTGGCGGAAGGGAAGGGGGAAGGAGCAGCGGAAGGGGCAGGGGGAAGGTATGATTTGCCTGTGACTATATTAACGGTGTTAGCAGCGAGGGAGTGATGGTGACTGGGAGGGTGAGGGAGAGGGGAGTTGGTGGGGGGAGGATGGGTTATGAGGGGTGATGGGGAGGGGTTGCGGGGGAGACGGAGTGGCAGGGCGGCAGGGGAGGAGTGAGAGTGAGAGTGGGCGATGGAAGGGGAAGGGGGGGATAAGAAAGGGCGAGGGTGCTGCTGTTGCTTCTGCTGCTGCTGCTGCTGCTGCTGCTGCTGCTGCTGCTGCTGCTGCTGCTGCTGCTGCTGCTGCTGCTGCTGCTGCTGCTGCTGGTGCATTTGACTTTGCTGGTGCGCCTGATGTTGCTGTTGTTGCTGATGCTGATGCTGATCTACGGTTGGATGTGACATGCCCTGATGTGACATGCCCTGATGTGACATGCCCTGATGTGACATGCCCTGATGTGACATGTCCTGATGTGACATGCCTTGATATGACATGCCCTGATGTGACATGCCTTGATGTGACATGCCCTGATGTGACATGCCTTGATGTGACATGCCCTGATGTGACATGCCCCCATGTGTCATACTTTCATGTGACATGCTCCCGTGTGACATGCCCTGATGTAACATGCCTTGATGTGACATGCCCTGTGACCTGCCCCCATGTGTCATGCCTTCATGTGACATGCTCCTGTGTGACATGCCCTGATGTGACATGCCGTCCCCCAGACGGCCCATGCCCATGCCTCCCGTGGATCGCCCCTTCCGCTGCCCCACCCGCCGCCCTTCGCTGACGGCACCTGATGACGTCCATGATGACGTGGCGCTCTCTGTCTCTGCGCTGCCACGGGACGGCAGCGGAAAGGACTGCTGCCGCCGGTGATGTAGCGAGGGGTCGTGCTGCTGCTGCTGCTGCTGCTGCTGCGGTTGATGGTGGTGCTGGTGCTGCTGGTGATGGTGGTGGGGGTGGTGCTGCTGCTGCTGGTGCTGTTGCCCGGGTCTACCTTCGCTGAAGCTTCGGCTCATAAAATCTCCTCGTAAGGCCGATCCCCTTGTCGGCTGTACCAAAAAAGCCCCTCTTTCATCCTGCACCGCGTGCTGTGGCCTTCCAATCACACATGGCGTCTGCTGTTGCTCCCCCTCCCTCTGCCGCTTGTTGCCCACAGCCGCTGGCATTAGACCCTCCCCCCCCACACCCTGCTCCTCCACCAACTCGTGCTCATGACTGTGATGCTGCTGCTGCTGCTGATGAGTCTGATGCGGTTCCCGAAGCTCTACATGATGTGGGGGGTTTGAGGGATGATGAAGGCGAGAGGAGATGTGTTCAGGGTCAGGCGCACGACTCATTTCAGGGCGATACCCTCCCCACTGCACCCCCTGCTGATTCTTCTCCCCTAGCTGTTGCTGTTGTTGCTGATGCTGCTGCTGCTGCTGAAGGTGCAACCTCTGTGTTCCTCCCAGTGACCCAGAGTCCATGGTGATGGCATTATGCCTCGCCTCTTCATTTGCCAGCGCAGCCTGCTCATTCCTCCATGCATCGCTGGCACTTGACGGCATGACGTTACCACTACTAACGTAATTATTACTGACCGGGACGGCGCCGGTAAAAGAACCAAATGCTGTCCCAGCAGTTGCAACGGCGCCGACATTGGGAGCGTTACAACTACCACTAGGCATTGTGAAGTCTCTTATAAGGGCATCGTATGCTCCTTCGATGGATGAAACCATTCCGTCACCGACGCTACCCATCTGAAAGTCGCCAATCCCCCATAAGTCCCCGTCAGGGTTTCTCGAAGAGATTATGTCGAAATCCATGTCGGATCCGCCGTGGAATGCGCTACTATGCTTCACCTCGTCCTCCATAGAAGCTAATCATAAGCTATTTCGAAAAATGAAGAACGCGAATCTGTCCCAAAAACGTTTGCGCAAGTCCGCAGGAACTTTCCGACCTTAAAAAATGTGACGTAGGTCTCCGGTAATGTGTCAGGAACGACGAATCGTTCGCGATAAAATCGAAGCTATTCGCGAAAGATAGCAAATAAATTCCGCAACGAAGGCTCCTTAATTCGTTCTAGTAGAACGTCGACCTGCGAGCTCGACTTGGACTCAGTTGCTACTATTTCGACAATCGACGGAATTCTCGGACGATAATCGACGATTTGCTAGTATTTCAACTCGGAAAGATCAGAAAGTTCAACTATCACTAGGCAACTTGATATGCATCCGACGCTGCCGACGGCTCGAACCAACCAACCGACAGACATGTGTGACAGACAAAGACAGAAGGCCAGAGGAACAGCACAAGCGAAAATGCAGTAGAGAAATAGAGCGAAAAGGGCGTGCGAGCGGGATGATGGGTGAAACGCAGGGTTTGCATTTCGGAGGTAGTTCTGGAGGAGGTAGTTAGCGAGATTGTGGGAGAGACACCATCAGGGACTATCCACCGTACGATTCGGAATTCTGACTTCTAAGCTGTGCTGGATCATCGGTCAACCGTCGATGTGAATATCTGCACCGAACCAACTACTGTACCCGCGCACACATTCCCTCAGCTCCACCTTGAGCACCCAGAACCACCGACCCTGGCCACAACCCGCCAGAAAGAGGCTGCCTCCCTGCCTGTCTACTTGCGAGCGACTGAAGAGGAACGGCTGGGATAAGATTTCAGCCCCCTATCGTGAGAATCTTGATCGTCGAATCAATCTGCACGGGTGTGTTGAAGGGGGGGGGGGGCTTGGCTGGTTGTGATGGCTGGGAGCTGCCCGAAATGGCCGTTCTGGGGAAGTAGAAAAGCCGCGTCTAGCTGTTGTTGGAGCAGGTCGGTCAGTAGAAGCTGCCCGTACAGTGTGCTTCGACTTTGGGCTCATGAAAGTGGTGGACAAGCGTGGACTGAAGCGCACCGACCAGCCACTTGCAGCGACGCACAGTGCGTCTGCAGCGCAGCTCACCCGAAGCTACCGCGGCATCACGACTTCAGCAGTGCTGGTTACTGCGCATCCGTTTTAAACAACAGAAACATCTCTTTCTTACATTACGCTTACAGGAACAAGCCCATCCCCATACACTCCACGCAATATTATATCGCCTAGGAGCTCCACCCACATATCTGTCGGACCAGGCGTGCAATAATGGAGACAGTCTAGAATCCCCCTTTCTTCCACCAAGCCCTTGTGCGAATCCGGTCTCAATGCTGTAGCAGTATCCACATCCATGTACACGCCTCCCGCATCATGAATCTTTGTCCGAACCATTTCGTTCTGATAAGTGAACAAGTCCCAATGGAACGGCAGAAATTCCGGATTCTGCCGCTTCTTGATCGGCCCGGTGTAGGACGTGCAGTTGGCATGCCCAGGCGGGGTATTCCTCCAGATAATCAGCGCGTCGGGCAGCTTCTTTCGAAGAAATTCTAAAGCGGCCGGAACACTCCTCTCAAAATCCTTCCCCCCAATGAAATGCGCGCCTCGATTCACCACCACCACATCAGCATCCTTCAACCCTGAATACAAATGCCATGGAATGTGGTCAAACTTAGCTTCTCCAGGCGAAGTAAACCACAGGTGGTCATTCCTCACGAATTGCACCGTAAGCCCGGGACAAAAGCTCTCATTGAAAGTGTACACTCGGCAGTAGGCATGCCTGGGGGGATCCACCAGCCAATCAGAGCATTCCTTGGGAATTGTTTCGTTCACAGCCCACACCGCAGGCTTGGGAATGTGTCTCAGAAGGCCGTTGAGGAAGCTGTCAACCATCTGATGCGCCAGGGAATCCCCCAGAAACAGCACATTCAGCCCACCTTTCCTCCCCTCCACTTTCCGGCAAAACATATCCCCGTCGAGCTGCCTCAGCGGCCCGATCGGGCACTTCCCGGGCGGCGTTCTCCACTCGTATTTGAGCGACTCGCGCACGCTCCAGCCGCCCGGCGCGCCGCCCTCCACCGCATACTTATCTGCTTTTTTTGTCACGAGTCCTCCAGTGGTGTCCCGATGCCGGTGGTCACACAGGTTCATGGTACCGAGGTACTCCCAAGGGAGGATGCGCGGCGTGGCGTTGTACACCCACCGCCCCCGCTGACTTACGCACCGCAGCCAGCGCCGAAACTGGGCGGCGGACTGTGGAGATTGGATCTGCGTACCGGGAATCAGCGGCTTCTTACTGGTGGAGGCCTGCGCCAGCTGTGCAGCCCTCATTCGCTGGTCGGCAGCCGTCAGAGCTGCCTCCTCCACTACTTTCTCATCGGCTGTTAATGCTTTCCCGACCACTCGAGCCAAAAACATCGCTGCTGCCTCTACAGCCCCGCTCCTCCACTCCACCGCACCCTTCCCCGTACCCTCCTCAGCCCCTTTCCATATCCCCACACCATCAGTTGGTGCTCCTTCCATGAAGCTTCCTCGAATTACGCGGTGATGGATCTGGCAAGCCGCTGCCAGCCTGGCGACTGAGTCAGCGATCACCGCGTCCACCTCAGCGGGCGGCGGGCGGAGCTCCAGCAGGGCGGCGCGGGGCGGCAGGAACGCGAGGTTGACGAGAAACGGGCTCGTGATGCTGACGAGCAGCGCCGCCCGGGGAAACAACTCTTTGGCGTCATCTCTTTGGAACCTTCCCACCAGCCTCACATGCTCGGCGCCAAACTTCCCCTTCAGCCCTGCTACAATCTCTGCAAATCCCTTCACCTGGACTGTTGCTGGTGGCTCGAGAACTATCACCTCTTTCACCCCACTTGTCTCCCAGGGGGGGAGGGCGGCAGGGGGAGAGAGGGCCTTGGGGGCGGTGGGGGGAAGGCGTTCGGACCAGTCAGGGTTGAGGAGGGGCAGACCCCAGGGTTGCAGGAAGTGGGAGGTGCGCAGTTTGGACCACAGAGAGGGGCTGGGTTGCTGGCAGTGCTGGAAGGTTGGCTGCATTGGGGAGGGAGGCCAGCGGAGGAAGGAAGAAAACATGTCTCATTTAGATGCTGGGGCTGGGTTGCTGGCAGTGCTGGAAAGTGGGCTGCTATTGGGAGGGGGGGGAAGGGGGGGAAAGAGAGGGCAGGTCGGGGGGTTGCAGGAAGTGAGAGGAGCAGAGCTTGGATCAGGGGGGGGGCTGGGGTACTGGCAGTACAGGGAGGAAGGGTGACAGGACGGGGTATGCTGGGAGAGGGGGATTGTGTGGTACGTGGAAAAAGGGAGAGGATTCCATTCAAAATGCGACGGGGATGTTGAAAGTGTTGGGAAGTGAGGAGGCAAGTGGGGGAGACGGAGGAGGGGAGGAGCGGCGCGGGATGAGGGAAGAGATGTTTGGATGGGTGAGTAGGGCGTGTGGGCGTGTGCTTGGAAGCGTAGTGTGGGGACGGACACACCAGGGTGAGTGTTTGGACGGACCTGGATTAGCGTTCGCACGAAGAGGAGGCGAGACGCATCGCCAAAGGAGAGCATGCGACCCATGGTGATGCCCACCACTCGAGGCAGCTGAGAGATACAACATCACACACATGCCACATCACATGCCACGTCACATGCCACGTCAGATGCCACGGCACATGTCACGTCACATGCCAGAGCCACACAAGATGCAGTGTTGCAATGTGCGAGAGCGACAAGAACACAACACACCTTTTGTTCTTGCTAGAAGAGCGCAACACACCTTCTTGCCGCGCATGACGAGGGCGGGCTTGCCGTGCTTCTTGAGCACGCGGGAGAGCGGCAGGAAGAGCGGCACGAGCTCGAGAATCTCGTGGAAGGGCAGACGGGCGCCGGGCGTGGCCCCCACGACCAGCAGGTTGACCAGCGAGTCGTGCGAGGACACGCGCGTGCCCGGCTCGTAGTGAAACTGGGGACGGGGAGAGAGGGGGGGAAACGAAGGGGGCGTAAGGCAAGAATATCTGTCGAGATGGGAGATGCGTGCCTCCAATGACCAGCAGGTTGACCAGCAAGTCGTGCGAGGAGACGCGCGTGCATGCCTCGTAGTGAAACTGTAGCAGAGAGTGTGGGAGAGGGGGGGGGGGGGGGGGGGGGGGTGGGAGAGAAGGGAAGAGCAGTTGGAGGCGTCGGAGGTGCTCTCGATGACCAGCAGGTTGACTGGCGAGTCGTGCGAGGAGACGCGCGTACCGGGCTTGTAGTGAAACTGGGGAAGGGGGGAGAGAGGGAATGCTACTGAGGTACCCTCTCCTTCCCAGCTCCTCCCCCGCCTTCCCACTTTCCCCCTTCCAACAGCCCCGCTCCTCCCCGTTCCAGCCCCCCAACCCCACCTCCCTCTTCTCTCAACCGCCCTCTCTTTCGTCCCTCTCCCCCTCCTCCCTCCACCCCCACACCACTCGCACCTTATCTTCAGCGTAGCAGCCGTTGGGGTTAAAGACGTGCGTGGAGTTAAACACCTGCCCCTTGTTGTTCACATACACGTCGTGCAGCGCAAAAACCCGCCCAGACCACACCATGCTGGGCGCACCACCCCCTTTCCCCCCGTCCCCTCGTCGCCCCCCTCCCCCTTCCTCCTCTTCCTCCCCTTCTCCGTCTTCTCCCCCTTCCTCCTCCTCTTCGTCTTCTTCCTCCTCTTCCACTCCCCCATATTCGTCGTTTCCCCGGGGCTTAGGCGTTGTGCCGTTCGCCGCGATTCGCGGGGCTAGGTCCTTGTAATCCGGGTTATGGCAGACGGAAATATCCTCGAAACCCGCGTCTTCGCACATCCGAAATTCCGGGCAGCGGAGGGCCTTGGCGCACGTCGCATATTTTCGCCTGCTGGTTACAGCTCTCAGATTTCGCCGGCCCTTTCGCGAAAGAACGCTCGGAGGCGGATTAGGGTTGAGATCCACAACTTCGAGGCGCTTGCTGTCGATCGCACTTTGCAAATCACCCGCTGATGCGAAATGAGCGCCTCGTTTCCGCCGAGATGCTCCGGGTAACCAGTCGCTGGCGGACAGTAGCTTTCGCCGACTCCCGCCGTTGCGTCCTTCAGGCGTGGGAACGTCGGGTGGTCTGACCACGAGCGACCCACCACTTGTCCTCTTGCCCGCGACATCCTTAGTAGTTTCTCGCGAGAACTGATCAAGGGGCGCTGTAGGATCATGGGTCGGAAACCCAATCTTGATTCTTTCTCGCAAAAAATGATCATTGGAAAAGGTAGAATCACCGCTCAGGACCGGAAAACCGGGCGTGCTGCTTGCATTGCCACGCGTCGAGAATAAAGACAGGAACAAGATCAGCATGAAGCCGTTCCACATTGAGAAACGTATCGGACTGTAGCGCGTACGGCCCCGTACGCCATGACGCGCCTGATCTTCATTTGTGAGAATTCTCAAAAAGGAACGAGTCTCCATTTGGCGGGATGCCATCTGTCAACAGCTACTGATAATCGACCTTGTAGCTCTTTCTGGCCTCGGGCGAGTCACTTCGAGTACCTCGAGATTCCCGCTTATGAAATAACGCAACATCGTTCCAGCTACTTCTCGTACGGACGGTTGGAGCTCTTCGAAGCTCCGACGCAAGAATAGCTCGTGAGGTCAACGATGCCGGCGTGACGCGCAAGTGCGTGGAGGAGGCGGATGATAGAACGGTAGTGTGCAGCAGCCTGGCCTTGACCTTGCATTGCGTCATGTTCATGTACGGAGTGACCAGCCGAGGCGGCTGCAACCTCGCGCGTGTGACGAGGAAGTGCAGACTGCTTGACGCTGCTTGCCCTAGCAGCACGGCCTTGACTTGCCAAGTGGGCAGAGAAGCGAGCGATACGAAGCTGAAACAGCTTGATGAAGTGGTGAGAAAGGGGGAGTGGACCATGAGCGAGCAAATTGGCAGGTTGCTGGGGTTGCGAGGAGTTAGGGCGACGTCAGGTTATACACTTCACACGCGCTTACAGTTCCTGTATCGTGGTTCAGGATGGTCTAACACGGTGAAAAGCGGTTCTTGACAATTACCGCTCTTCACCGTGCTGAAACGAAGTTTACCAGAGAGGGCGTACAAAAAGCTGTACAACCTGGCGTCGCCCTTAGCGGTTATTTTGAGCCCCGTTAGAGCAATCTGACTGGCTGATTTTACAGACATTCCAGGAGTTTTACAGGAATTACTGAGGTAATGAAAGATAGTAATTCGTACCACTAAAATCGAGAAAATATAGTAATGTCCTAACTGCAAATTCTGATAATATGATTCATTTTTTAATAAAATCTAGTTTTTATTTGAAAAAAATGCTCGGTAAAGTACATGGATGATTGTACCTTTGGTGGCATTATGAAACTACGGGGATGTGTTCATAGATCGAAATCTGACAAAGGAGAAATCGACGACGCGGAACATGCAATATCAACTACACCGGTGTTCTCGAGCATATGCCTCGATATTTCCTTTCTCCTAAGAGAATCATCCCTTCCAGTCACACCTTGCGGACTTGAAGTCAGCCATGGCCGAAATTGCAACGGCGATCCGTCAGGGACTTGGTCCCACTGCTAACGAAGTGGACCCTATTATCATAGACTATGTCGTTAACGTCCTAAAGGTGAGCGATGAGAGGCTTACATTCGTAATTTTCCGGACCTTAAAGCCGAGGTTTAGTATCAGCTTGAAAGAGCTGTCCGTTGTCATAAGCCGTCCTTAGTCTGTTAATCAGTTGATTGCGTAGCGTGAGGTGTCAACGTAATGACGCTGGTCGAATTCACTGAATTTGTCAACGTTATCGATTCTGACGTCGTCACTGATTCTCATGACTTGACACTGGACCGTTTGACTTCACTGAACCTGACGGATTTACTGCAGCCGACAAGTTTACCGGACCTATCGATTTCGCTGGGCTTGGCGACCGTATTTGTTATGTTTCCTGACCTCTTTCCCTAGTGTTTTCCGGCCTCTGATATCGTATCGTTCGTCTTCTCACGAAGACAAGATCTGCCTTCGGTCCGCGAAACTGATTCCGAACCACAAGAGCGATCGATTCCGTTCTTTCTCCACGCCCCGAGTGTACGCTACCCCCCTTCCTCCCGTCCCGCCAGGGCGGGACGTTTGACTTCGTGTTTTGAAATGACTCTGTTCCGGAATCACGTCCGGAATCAACTCTGTTCCCCGGTCACGTCCGGAATCTACTCTGTTCCCCGGTCACGACGTTTCATTTTGGCCCGCGGGGCAAACTCGCGTACGACGCCGTCGGCTCCGAAAGAATTCAAACGTGATCACGTCCCGAATCTACTCGCCACTCTTTTCCCCCTCTCTCCCCCTCGCCCCCCTGGTCCCCTCCCTTTCCCGCCCGCCAGGATGAGACGTTTGACTTCGGTCCGCGCGGCGACCTCGCGTACGACGCCGTCGGTCCGCTCCTCCTCAACGTCGGCTGCTTCCCGGACGCTTCCTCCGCGCGCGCCTTCTTCCAAACCCTAGCCGCCAGGTTCGGCGACGCGCATGCCGCAGCCTCGGCGGAGAACGTGCGGAGCCTGGGGGCGCCGATGCGCATGGGGGAGGGCATGGCGGAGCAGGCGATGCTGGGGGAGGGGAAGACGGGGGTGATTCAGGCGGTGGCGGCGGAGGGGGAGGAAGAGTCCATGTATTTCGTGACGGAGCGCGATCTGCGCAAGCTCGAGCGGAACAAGCGCAAGGAGGAGCGCCAGCGCATGGTACGTCGGATCGCAGGGTTTCCAGGTTGGGGGAAAGGGTGGGTGGGGGAGCGCAACAAGCGCAAGGAGGAGCGCCAGCGCATGGTGGGTTTCAGGGTTTCCAGGTACGGGGAGGAAGGGCGGTGGAGGAAAATGTGGTGGGGGAGGGTTGGGGCTGGGAGAAGGGAAATTGCTCACGCGCGGATTGGTAATATGCTCATTCTTTTTTTTTGCAGCAGGCACATCGCCTTTGCAGGTTGCATGCTTGCTAGGCGAGGTGCATGTGCGATTTACTGACATTCATGCTGCCGCTTTCCCGTTCTCACTTCTCCTACCCTCTCTCCCGTTCCTTTCCCCCTCCCCCACCCACTTCCGCTCACCCCAGGACTCGTACGAAACACATGTACAGGAGAGCGGAGCTACGTTAGCGTCCTTGCCACCGGTGGCAATATATGCTCTCTCTATCCACGCCTTCCCTTTTCCCCTCTCCCTCCACTCCGTGCTCTCACTCCAGGACGCGTACGAAGCACACGTGAAGGAGAGCGAGGCCATTCTGTCGTCCATGCCACTGGTGACGGTGTCGCACGGGGGCGATGGCACGGAGGGCGGGGCGAGGGACATCCATCTCAGCAACTTCACCGTCACCGTGGCGGGGAAAGATCTTATCAGCGATGCCTCCATTACTCTGGCTTTTGGGCGACGATACGGTGAGGTTTGGAATGGTGGAGTGCGGTTGGGGTAGAGTTGAAGAGGTTGAGAGGGGTAGAGGGAGAGAGGGGGAAGCACAGGTGGGCGGAGGGACATCCATCTCAGCAACTTCACCATCACTGTGGCGGGGAAAGACCTCATCAGCGACGCGTCTATTACCCTTGCGTGGGCGACGATACGGTGCGGATGGGTTTTGGAGTGGTGGGGTGCGGTAAAGGGGAAGAAGGGGAGAGCGACAGAGGGGGTGAGGGAGAGAGGTTGAGAGGGTGAGAGAGGGAGAGAGGGTGAGAGGGTGAGAGGGTGAGAGAGGGAGAGGGGAGAAAGAAGTCACAATGGAAAAAGTGGGACGTGACGACAACATGCTGCATGTGGAGCCAGCAGGTGGTAATGGTGGTGAGTTGGGAGGCTGGTTGAGGCGCGTCAGTCAAACACGCACTCATTACCGAGTCTTGACTCCTTTCTGCTCTTGCTCTACCCATCCATGCAGGGCTGATCGGGCGCAATGGCACGGGCAAGACGACCCTGCTGAAGCACATGGCGATGCATGCGATCGACGGCATCCCATGCTCGTGCCAGGTGCTGCACGTGGAGCAGGAAGTGGTGGGGGACGACACATCCCCGCACTGCTCCCATCCCACTTGGAGGAGACGGTCCATTGGCCCTCAAATTCAACTTTTTTTTTGTTGCCCCTGACCTGTGTCTCCCTGTCCGTTCGTGCAGGGCTGATTGGGCGCAACGGGACAGGAAAGACGACCCTGTTAAAGCACATGGCGATGCATGCGATCGACGGCATTCCGCGCTCGTGCCAGGTGCTGCATGTGGAGCAGGAAGTGGTGGGGGACGATACCTCCGTCCTTCAGTGCGTGCTCAGTGCTGACCTTGAACGCACCGCACTTCTAGAGGAAGAGAAGCAGCTTCTAGCGAGGAAAACTGGCGGGGAGGATGGGGAGGTGGCCGGGGAGGGGGAGGGGAAGAAGCGGGATGGGGGAGGGGCGGAGGCGGGTGCAGGGGAGGATGAGGCGGCGGCGAAACGGTTGGCGGAGGTTTACAAGCGGTTGGAAGAGATTGATGCGTACTCTGCTGAGTCACGAGCTGCTTCCATCCTTGCTGTGAGTGACAGTATGGGCAGAGGAGAGTTATTGAGTGTGGTGTGGAAGCGGTTAGCAAGGCGGTTGATAAGGGTGTAAGGTTGGAGGATATGTATCAGGGCTGCTTCCGATCCTTGCTGTGAGTGCCCGGATGGGGTCGCAGGAGGGAGACCCCATCGAATGCAATTCTTTGCTTCTTTCTGAGCACCGGTGCAGAAGCAGCTCGAGACTCAGCACTGAGCACCGATGCAGAAGCAGCTCGAGACTCAGCACTGAGCATTGAGATCTCCACATGCGCTCGTCCTTTCCCGCCGCCCCTTC